CTCCCAAAATAACACAGGTTGTTGCCAGAGCCCTTGATTACCATCTAGACCTTGAAGGTAAGACAATGTTGCTGAAATCAGGACATACTTCAGACACAGGACTTGGAACATTCCAGTTGGAAATGACCTAAAAGCCTTCTCCCTGAAGACTAGCTTTCATAGTTCTGGAGGACAGCATGCAAGCTTCTAAGGGATAAAAATCAACTAATGGTCCCACCCAGTTCTAAAGCCTAATAAGCATGAGTGACACAGCAAACGACCTCTATTGGTGCAGTAGTGACACTGTTATCTGGGGGATAATCAACAGCTGTCTAATTGGACTTAAAGCCCCCTCAATGGGAGGGAAACTATGGATGTCACTGTAAATATAGCCAAATACACATGGCTGGAGAGGTCATAGATCTTAGAGTAAACCCTATCTCTGTCATATCACTAGACAAATGAAAATTTTCACCATATGCTAAATATACATTTTTATGTTTACCTACAAATACAGCACATACCACTAATCAAACAAGTTTCTTTTGGCAACCGATGGAGAGTCTTACAGAGTTCCATAACTGGTCACACACAGAGAATATATGTCTGAGAGATGCCCAGCTCTAAGTGACACATCTACAGTGGAGCCTCTACTCTAAGAATCATGGACCATAGCGGAATAGGGGATAAAGAGAATGTAAATTCATTCCCCAACTCTCCCTAGCGAAGCTTCCTCATACAACATAGCGTGGTTCACACAAAAGGCCACCACTATGTTTTAAAGAATAAGAGACTGTAGAAGGTGTTTTCCTGAATAATTTTCCTATATTAAACATCACCCACCCATGGCTCAGGTACCATTGAGAAAAATGAGGGTGGAAAGATTGTAAGAGCCAGGATTGGTGCATGAACACAAGGAAACAAGCTTTGAGGCCATTGGAAACTTGCTCATACGAACTTGTAGCAGTGGTGACAGCATTCACAAGACCCATGCCAACACAATCAGACAAAAACATAGCATAGAATGAAGGAAATGGGCAGCAGGTCCCAACTCTATCCTAGGAACTATTGGCAACTGATTATTGCTGAGTGAAGGAGAGTAAATATTCTTTAAGATCTCTAGATAGGCTGACTAGACTCCAGTGGATGAACTTCCACTGAAGGACATCTGGATACAAATGCTTGACCAGAGGACTTAATATATATGGCTGCATGCATGAAGGCCAGTGGGTCACTATGGTGGGGCATGGATGAGGGAGGGAAAAGAGTCTAAATCTGATTAAGACCTATTATAGGAATTGCACAGAAACTCAATAAAAATATTTTAAAGACGGGGATATTGCACTGAGGCAGGAGCACAGTTGGTAGAGTGCTTCCCTAGAATCCATGAAGCCCTGGGCTCAGTCACTACATAAATTGAGTGTGGTTTTCAATGCTTGTAATCCTAGCACTCTGGAGATAGAGGCATGATGATCATAAAGGGTATGCTTAGCTGCTGTTCTAGTTTGTTTCTCCATTGCTGTGATAAAATGCTCTGACTACTACCAATTCTGGGAGGAAAGGGTTTATATGTCTTGTGTCTCCCAGGTCACAGTTCATCAGGGAGCCCAATGTAGGAACTCACAGCAGGAACCCGGAGGAAGGACTTGAAGCACAGACCATGGAGGAAAGCTTCTTACGGGCTTGGTCCTCTGACTGCTGCTCAGCCTGCTTTCCTATGTAACATAGGCCCACCTGCCCAGGGTGGTACCAACCACAGTTGACTGCACTTTCCCACATCACTCAATAAACAAGAAGATGCCCTACAGACATCACCACAGGTCAGTCCAATGGAGGCAATTCACCAACTGAGTCTCCCCCTACCCAGGTTTGTCAAGTTGACACTAAAGCTATACAGAACAGCTATACAGCAAATGGAAGTCAACCTAGTTCACATGAGACTATCTAAAAGAAGAGAGAGAGAGAGAGAGAGAGAGAGAGAGAGAGAGAGAAGAGAGGGGAGACATATACCCAGAGATAGAGATAGAGATGAGAGAGAGAGACAGAGAGAGAGAGAGAGGGAGAGAATATAGGCCAAGCATCAAGTACAGCCTAGCATATAGATTTTGAGTTTATCAATTAATAGATTTTAAATATTTGCTGTGTAATTTGTGTATGTTTATATGATGATATGTGTTTGTGTGTGTGTGTGTGTGTGTGTGTGTGTGTGTGTGTGTGTGTGTGTGTGTGTGTGTGTGTGTGTGTGTGTGTGTGTATTTTCATGTTAGTTTGGGCTCATGATTGCCATAGTACTTATATGGAGATCAGAAGACAACTTGGGGTCTCAGACCTGACCTTACCCCTTTGTTGAGCCTTTGTTTCTCTTGCTCACTGTTCTATACTTCAGGATTGTTGACAAATGAGCTTCCTGTGATTCTTGTCTGTGCTTTCCATCTGCAGTAGGGGCAGCAAGAGCTTTGAATGAAGGTTGATCAATGCTCCATGATCAACCACTTGTGTGAAGTGCCTTAAAGGGAGCAATGTAAAATATTATGAAATTAAGATTATCAAGAGAGTTGGATGATTCTTCAGGACCCAGATCACTGTTCCTACTTTTCCCCATCATAACACATAAGCAAAAAGCAGCGTTGATACGTCTGAGGTAGGAAATATGAGATGATATTTCTTACCTGGAAATCAACCATACCTTTTTTCACTCAATCTATATGTAACAATACTTTATATCTTTCCTACAAAAAATGTTCATACCTTAAATAATTATTATTTAAAAGTTGACTGTTCATATAATCCCCTCCATATATTGACCAAAGTATCTAATAGTATGCCTAACATCAATAATTGTATACTAATAAAATAAATGAGCATTAAATGAAAGAAGCCAAAATTGTCCATTTCTATTTTTCATTTAATAGCCTGTAATCTGAATTATAAATTAAATGTAAAATGAATATTTATCTGAGATAATTTGTTATTGTGTATTTTCCATAATTAAGTGAAGGCATGCTAATATTTACAATTACTTAAGAGATCCTTGAAAGTGATGGTCCTTGAAAATCAGTAGTATTTGTGAGAAGGGAACTTTTCAGTGCTCACCTGGGAATGATATAATCATCTCTGGTGACTTGAATTCACAGTTGAATCCAGAGGCTCTTCAGAGACTGATTCTCAGTGATAAACAGTGAGAGTAAGAGACAGTTTAGCAGCTTTAAAATCATAACAATCTTGACTATCTTATCCTACAATGAATTCTCATTTGAAGAGGTAAGATTTTTGGCTTCGTCAGTAAATTGAGAATAAATATGTATTTATGAATTATAGTTAATAAAAAAGTCAGGCAGAATCAAGCAATCTTGTACATAAGAGAGAAAAAGAACTTTGTTCAATCAGCTTATATTTCATTAGTCAAATTATTCTGAGTAATCAGGCATAAACTGGGTTTCAGAGAATCCTTATTTGTCCAATCACTCATTAGATCAGCAACTATCATAGTCTTTTTCATACTTTTGCATATAAAAATACCACTCAGCCAAAAATGCATTTAACATCCAAGTTTAAAACGCTTTTAACTTGCCAAGTATGAAATGCTATGATGGCATACTGCAAGTGAGTATCTTGTGGAAAGACCTGGTCTGTTCATTGACTGAATGCTCAAGCATCACAGGCTCAGGATGCTGTGGACCAAGATAGTGACCTCAAGGCAGAAGACTCAGGAGAGGAGACTCAACTAGCATCTAGTGAGTGAGCATCTCATTAATAAACTTTGTTGAAAATCACATTAGATGTTCCTCATTCTTCTCTTAGCAATATTATTACAGTAGAAAAGGATTTGGAGTGTCTGAATAAGTGGAAAAAATTATAGTGTTCTAAACATTATTCACATTTTACATGATAATCGGATTGATATTTCAAACAACTTAATAGAGCAATGGCTTAAATGAAATATTCAAAATAATTATTAATTTGTAGTAGGAACTTATTTTTAGTGCAGAACTCTTTCTATTTACTCCCAGTTCTAGCAAGAAAATTTATTTATCTCTTTAAAAATTAGGATGTGGTCTTGCTTAACTGATTGAATTTATAGTCAGTGTCACCATTCAAGCACTTCTTTCATGTATTAGCAATCAGAAAACTGAAAAGCTACACTGTTGTCTGTCTCTAATGTCCAAGTGTTCTCAAATTCATTGTAACTCTTCAAATGCAAAAAGAAATGAATAAGTTCGGCCTTTGTGGGATACATATCTGACTCTAATATTTATTATAAAACCTTAAGTTACTTAACATTTTCAAATTGTTCCCTCTCAACAATGGAAGTAAATAATGTATGTAAAATTATCACATACACACGAAAATAAAACTTTACATAAAATTTTACAACATGTGCTTGTGATTAGTAAGCATTCAATAAGAGTTAACAATTACTTAAGTCTTTGTTAAGTAATTCTGTGTTTGTACTTCTTAACTATTTAATATGCTTGTAATATTTACTTTATGATTTTCAGAAATCTACCCTATTTTACATTTATTTATTTTGTTTGGGTGGACTGAGAGAAATGGAGTGACAGCCACAGCACATGTGTGGATGTCAGAGGACAACTTTAAGGAGTCAGTTCTCACCTCCTACTGTGTGGGTTCTTGCAATGAAACAGACTGTCAGGCTTGATGGCCAGTGCCTTTACCAGCTGAGCAGTTGTGCAGGCCCAGTTCTCACACTGTAAATCTTAAGCTATAAAGACACTTAGGTACATTTCACATAAATACATGCAAAGACAAGTTATAGATTATGTGTAGAAAATTATTTAACATTTCTGTTTTAAAATTTTTAAGGTACAGTAAATGCACAGAAATAGATAAACACTGAGAGTCTAGAGTAAATGTCATTTGCTCATCAAAACTTTTTGTAATGATGTATTTCGTTATATTACCCTACACAAATGTGATGAACAAAATGCAGCTACTTATTTATAAATTGTTTCATGTAATGTCTTCATCACAGCTTTATTTTGGCAGCAGCTTCATTGTCCCATGGCTTTACTGAGGAATGGGAACCAAACTGCAGTGACCGAGTTCATTTTACTTGGCTTAACAGATGATCCAGTATTTCAAGTCATTCTCTTGTTCATCATCCTGTGTATCTACCTGGTGACCCTGGCTGGAAACCTCAGCACAGTCTTTCTAATCAGAATCTCTCCTCAGCTCCATCGCCCCATGTATTTTTTCCTGAGCCACTTGGCTTCTACTGACATTGGCTATTCATCATCTGTCACGCCCAATATGCTAGTTAACTTCTTGGTGGAGAAAAAAAACATCTCCTACCTTGGCTGTGCTATCCAGCTTGGCTCAGCTGCCTTTTTTGGGACAGTTGAGTGCTACCTTCTTGCTGCCATGGCTTATGATCGCTTTGTGGCAATTTGTAGCCCATTGCTTTATTCAACCAAAATGTCCACGCAAGTGTGTAATCAGTTGATTGTAGGATCATATGTAGGTGGTTTTCTTAATGCTTCCTGCTTTACCTTTTTCTTTTTTTCTTTTCTCTTCTGTGGACCAAACAGAATCAATCACTTTTTCTGTGATTTCGCTCCTTTAGTTGAACTTTGCTGTTCTGATGTCAGTGTCTCTGTGCTTATTACCTCATTTTCTGCAAGCACTGTTACGGTGGTCACAATGTTAGCCATAGCTGTCTCCTATACCTACATCCTCATCACCATCCTGAAGATGCGCTCCACTGAGGGCCGCCAGAAGGCCTTCTCCACCTGCACCTCCCACCTCACTGCAGTCACTCTGTTCTATGGGACTGTCACATTCATTTATGTGATGCCCAAATCCAGTTACTCCAGTGATCAGAACAAGGTGGTGTCTGTGTTCTACATGGTGGTCATCCCAATGTTGAACCCTCTCATCTACAGTCTCAAGAATAATGAGATTAAGAATGCTTTTATGAAACAGCTTCAAAAGAAAATATTTTCATAGAGACGTCTGTTAGTTGTAGACAGTCACCCTCGAAAATGGACCATCAGCTCCGATTTGGTTATTAGTGTTCTCATTAGTCCTTTTGCCACATTTCCTTGATCATTGTCCACACAACCCAAAAGATATTTAAAAAAATGAATTAGGGTGGTGACTCATGTTTAAAACTTTTATTTATTTCACCAATTTCAGAATAAAATTCTTATTATCTTCCATGATTCATGGGGGTCTTCTTGGCTTACTCTGATTTGCTTTTCATTTGTTGAGGTTATCTGGATCACTGACAATGCTAGTTCCCATCTGACAGTTTTATCTCACTCTCTATAACAACAGAAGCTTCTCAGTTTTCTTCTCATCTTCAGCCTACCTCAGGTTCACCACCCACCACCACATCTACCCTTTACCAGTCACATCACTTTCACTTATTGTTCCAAGGTGTGTCCTAATTTATTAAAGGTGATTTGTTTTCTAGTGTGCTTTGCAATGATGCCTAATTTTTATGAGAATTGCGGTATTCATTAACACTGATAGAATGCCCCAGTTGGGAAAACTGAAGTCCTATGAAATTATTGCTGGCGTTGGCATTATCACTCAGTCACTTCCCTCCTTCCTTGGAGGACTCTTGGTTGAGACAGTCTGTTTCCCAAGACAGCCTGTCTCCTTGAGCAAGTAGTCTCAAAAAGAGATAAAAAACGCCCTGTCTCTCAAAATAAACCAAAGAAAAAGGTACCAGGAAAAAGAGGGCCATACATGGGTTACAAAGTTCTCAAGAGTGCCCCTGATCCACACATAGTCAGCCATAGTTATGACCTATAAAATTCTACCAGCCCCTCCCCAAGAGCAGCGGTTGCTTCCAATATAAAGGAAGGCTGTTGTCATACGCTGTGCTTGAATAAACTCCATCTTGTCTGAGGTCAGGTAGGATCTCCTTTTTTCTCTCTGATTGTTCCTGTTTTCTGTGCCCTCAAACCTAACAAACATATCTACAGTATTTACTTGGTTTCTAGAATACAATTAATACTCAACAAACACGTCTAGAGGAATGAATGCTTAAGTGTTTATCCCATATCTGGCTGCTAAACAATTTCAATGCTCTGTTATAATCTTCCAGACAGAATCTGATCAAAAAGATGGAAATCATTGGTGTTTGATGTGTCTTCCCTATGTTCTCTCTAAGTTATTTCCGAACATGACATGCCTCCTGTCATTGACTTATTATTTCTCTATTATCCAAGGACAGCTTGTACCTAACAGTCTGAACATTCTGACCTCAAGCATGGGTTACATGTTCATATGGAAGCCAGTTTTGTATTTGGGGAATTTGGAGTTCATATAACTAAATTCCTAAGATCTCATGAGGTAGTATGTGCTTTAAATTTTTAGCAGATATTTGGAGATGTTTCTCTCATGATAAAGACTAGAACAGGCTATCAGGAGAGAAAGGTATGAAGTTCTGGTCATGTGAGTTGTTATAAAGAAGAACATGGGGCAGGCCAGATAGCTCAGTGGCTAAAAGCACTTGCTTCCAAGTTTGACAACCTGAGTTTGACCACCAAAACTTATGTAGTGGAAGCAGAGAACCAACCCCACAAGTTGTCCTGTGGCCTATACACAGATATACAGACACACATACACACACAGACACAGACACACATGCACACACAGAGGCAGACACACCAACACTAAATGTAGTAAAATGTTTTGAAAAGAAGCAAGGAAGCCAGAGATACAATACCAGGGGATGAGTTGTAGAATATAGGGAAAACTGGAGGGACTGGAGATATGGCTTAACAGCTATAAGCCCTTGTGGCTCCTGCAGCAGACCTGGTTTATTTCTTAACACCCACATGGCAACTCCGGTGCCATCTTTTAACTTCTACAGGCACCAAGCACACATGTGATCCACAAACACATATGCAGATAAAATACATCTTTATAAACAAGAGATTGTGTATGGGTGGGTCTATGTGAACTTAAAGAATTTTTCTCCCTTCCCTGGGTCTTGAATCTCTCAATAGATATAGTCTGATAGATTTTACTAATAGGTAAATTAGACTTGTTTTTACTCCGATAACTTGGAACCTCAATAGAAGTCCAGAACAGGTTAAATTTTGTGATTAAAGCTATCTAAACAAATCTAAACATTTTCATTCCTTGCATGAAGTCTTTCAGTATTTCCTTTCTGGATAAAGTGCTCCTTCACATGAATTTATTGCTTTTAAAGAACAATTTCAGGTGGACACCCCCTAGCACCTCTCCTCAACACAATTTTACTTTTATATCTTTTTTGCTAATGAAAATTAAAAATACATAGTTATTCTAATTTTATAACATCAGTGCACATAAAACTATGAGACTGTCCACTTGCTACCCTCCTTGATTCTCTCTGTTCTCACCACATTCCTAATACCTCATAGATGGGTACAGGACTGTCCTCCAGTCCAGGGAGACATCACCTCCTGAGCTCAGCTGTGCCTGTTTGCCAAAGATCTAAAAGGGGGCTTGTTGACTGTTCTGTCTTGCATAGAAGGAAGGGCAGAGAGTCACAAGACACTCACCTGAGTATCCAGTCACACCTCCCAAACACTGTGGGCAATTTGATTCTAATTTCACTTTGCCTCAGGGAAGGGCTGGGGTACATTGGCTGTGGGAGTCTAAGGGAGGATTTCTCTATTTGCATGGATATGGGGAAGCCATCAGCCATGCTACATCAACACTTTCCAGTGATACCTTCATAGGGAGCACCCACACTTCTGTAAGTACCCCTCACCCATTGTTCTGTAAGTATGCCTAATAAAGCTCATTGGTTTCCAACAGTAAAGTTTAGTGGGATCCAAAGGGAGGAAGGAGGAGGGCAGTAGATGTTTCTATGATGAAAACTGTGGCAAGATTTATACCTAAGGCAAATCTGGTGAGATTCTTGTCTAGTCAGTGTTCCTAAAGAATAAATTGACAAAAAAATAAATTCTGTACTAAGGAGTTTCTATAAGGTTTTAAAATCTGAGGAACAGTTCACAAAGGGCATACAGAAGATAAAAACTGTTCCAGGGCTTGATAAGGCTCTCTGAAGATTAAACAAGTTACATTTTTCTCCTGAGAAAAGTTATACTAAGGGTGAAGGCAGTTTTCACCAATAGGCCTCCCCCAGCAACCAAATATGGTCAAAGGAAAGACAGCAGATATGTGTGCTAGAAGGCACACCCAGGGCCTACCTGACTCTGGTAACCAACAGATACAGCAGGGACAAGAGGCCTTTATTCCTTCTTAGCCTTGTGCAGGGTCAGGCAACTTGAGCAAGCACCAATGAATGCATCAAAAATTAAAAAAAATACAGATATGCTCCATGTAAAATCCCCAGGATGTGGAATGACTCCAAAAAGATAAGAAAGATAGTGAAGAACTAATGAAGTTAATGCTTCTTACCTATGCAACATAGATGTGTTGAGAGAACAATTAATACAAATGGATAAAATCTTTCCATGCTGTGTTAAACCATGTCTATGTTTAATCTAGTATATAATGTTAACCTCTGGGTGTTTTGCAGATGTGAAACCCATTTGAGAGATATTAAGTACACTTGAAACAAATGCTAGCTATAGCTGTAAATTCTTGGGAGCTATATTGTGGGGTGAGACATGAATGATACCCACTAGATTGGTTGGGAAAAGTCTATAGTAGCCTAATTCTGTAGATGCCAGAGTAACCAACTAATATCTTATAAAATAAAAATAAAGCCTCCCAAAACTGTACAATTGTTAAATAAAAATTCCAGTATTGGGGTGTGTAGCCCCCCCACCCCGAGCTGTTGGACAGAGACCATGGAGGTCCTCAAAATGCTAAAGGCTATTGTTACTAATGTCAGTTGCACTGGGAAGAGATGATAAGGCCCATTTGCTGAAGACACTGCATGATGTGAGCTCAGGAGATGGAGAGATGGAGCAGCTACTATGCTGGACACTCCCTCCCACTGGATGGATGGCTTTCATAGTGCCAGATGGCACAATGCAGATGGGTGGGGGAGAATTATTCCATATTATTCTGCTGGATGATGGCTCCCATGCGCTGCATGCTATTGACATGTCAAGCAAGACGTCCCACCTGCTGGTGCAATAGTGGCTCAACTAATATGTGTGCAACCGACAAATTTCTGATTGGACATAGGACCCGCTCCTAAGGATGGGACACACCTCTGGGGCTATAGACCAGACCAACCCCTTGTGGTAGAGGAGGTTATATACCAAAATGAGGAAGCCACTGCATGTGTTTTGTTAAATGAATATAATGCACCTGTTAAGGTATCCACTAAGCATTTGTTTTTACACCCATAGGTTAGATAATTACAGCAGTCCATGATGTTCATTTAGGTGTTCCTGCTTCATTTCATTTGTCTTTGTAGTAGAAAGATACGATACCACTGAAATGGATCAACAGCTACATCTTGGAAACAAATAACGAGAAGGCCAAAGAGTTCAGTATCTCACCACAATAGAAGAAAGATCATCCTGTATCTGTCAACCCCTCCAAGGCTCAGGTACTTTTGCAGAAAAGGCTGGTGGAAAGATTGTAAGAGCCGGGGGAAGGGGTAGAGTGTTGGGTAAGTGTGTCCTCCATGTGGAAAGCCAGACTGGCAAACACATGGATAGATGGGTTCTTCTCTGGCTTCTCCCCTGTTTACATCAAACTGGTTTGACCCTAAGATTCCCTGTAGGAAGGGAGGGCAGAGGGAGACAGTCAGCCCTCCTACCCAATCATCCAGCTTTAACTGCATGACTAGAAGTGACTAAGGATAGATACAGGAAAAGCCATAGAGGAAGAGGGGCTTTGCCAACTTGTACCAGGTACCCCAGGTCCGGAAGCTACCAAAATGTATAGCAAGTTTAGAAAACAGCCCAAGGATGCTCATTCTTTGTAAGTAACCCCTCATTGCCATCATATGCTCTGTTAGTAAGTGCAATACATATTTTTGTTCCCTAAACTGTAGTTTAGAGTTTGGATATTTTCTC